TTAATGTCAAAATTTCGTTTTTATATACACGAGTTCTTATGGGTAGGGACAAGAAATTCCCGCAGTAAATCCATCGCATCTTATCAAATGATAAGAAACGAAAAAAAAAGATAAACATACGATAATTAAAGTGAAAATTTTTGGAACATTTAGAAGTTTTTTTCTTGAAAATAATGCACTAATAAGAAAAAATGGTGAAGAATAAAAAGTTATTATAATTAGAAAGAATGCACCCAAATTTTTTCGGAATTTTTTGAGCAATTTTTTCAATTTTGCAAAAATTGACTATTTACAAAATCAAAAAAATTGCTCGAAATATTTTCAAAAAATTCGGTGCATTTTTTGAGTGATTTTAAGAACTTTTTATTCTTGACAATTTTTCGTAAAAATACATCATTTTTCAATAAAAAATTCATGAATGTTTTCACGAAATTTTGCAGTTTAGGCGCCATTTTGAATACATTAAGGAGTAAATCGATCTCCAAACCACATATTATTAAAGTTTAAACGTTTATTCCACGTTTAGTGGGGTTCTAGGGTCATTGCAGACAGGAAACCCTTTGAAAATTCGATTAAAAAAAAAAAAAGTGTGAAAAAATCATGTTTTTTTGTTTTAAACTGTTTTTTCCATAATTAACAATTTTTTGGAGAAATTTTATGGACACTATCAGAAAGGGTACATCTTAAACTATAAAAATATGTACCTCTCGAATTTTTCAGACACAAATAGTATTAGTTATGAGCCGCCAAAGAGCGGTGTACCGAGAGTGGCTTTTCGTCCGAAACGGGTTAATACAAAAACAAAACTTTACATTCTTCTGATTCAATTTCTGGTTAACAATTATTTCTACATTATCGTTAATATTGTAAATTGTAAAGGGTTTTTTTTAATCGAACCCCATAGTTTCTTTAAAAATTTATTAATAATTAATTTAAGACATGGATCGTCTCGATCGGTTCAAAATTACGGTCTGTAGCGATTTTTGAACAATAAATTGTGATTTCTTTCCCACTGTGCGCCGCACAGTGGGCAAAAAGACTCATTTTTTGGAAAATCTACCGACAGTGCAATTTCTAACCGATTTCAAATTCTTTTGTCTAATTTACTCATGCAACATTGCTCTACAACGTAATACTGCGACATTGATGAAAAAAAGCAGAAATTCAAAATAGAGGATAGAAAATGAGTGACGAAAGTATTGAATTCCTGTCGAATGATATTTTTCTCTTATAATATTAAACATATTTACACAGAAATTGTTTTTTGGGTAGCTAAATATGAATTTGAGATCAAACTTAAAATTAAAAAATCAAAATAACATTTATTATAAAAATAAAAAGTGTCGTAACTTTAACAAGATTTATTGAGTTTACAAAAAAAAGATTATTATGCACTTGGCACATAAGTATTTAAAAATTTTTCATATCTTAATATTAAATTTGTACAAAAATAGCAGAATTTTGTATATCGCTTTATAACTGCGTAGATAATAAAAACAATACTTAAGTCCTTATACCACGCCAAGATATCGGCCATGATAAGGGTACTGGCTTTCTTGTTTTGACTTTTATTTTCTATTCTTTTCAATTTTTTAAATGATTTTGTTTCTTTATTTTTTATTTTATCAATTTTTAAATGTTTTGTTTATTTTAAATGTTTATGTTATATCTGTATATTGAATTTTTTTCTATTTACATGTAATAGGTTAATATTTTTAAATATGTTTTAAACGCCATTTGTGTGTGTGCGTGCGTGCGTGCGTGCGTGCGTGCGTGGTGTGTGTGTACGTGTTCGGCGCACAAATTTGTGTTTAAAACATAAAAATATTAACCTATTACATGTAAGTAGAAAAGAATTCAAATAAATATAATATAAAGCATTTAAAATAAACAAAAACATTTAAAAATAGAGAAAAATAAAAAATAAAAACGAAACCAAAAAAACTAGTATCCTTATAATGGCCTATATCTTGACGTGGTATAAGGGCTTAAATATTGTTTTATTATCTACGCAATTATAAAGCAATATAACAAAATTCTGCTATTTTGTACAAATTTAATATTAAAATATGAAAAATTTTTAAATAATTATGTGCGAAGTGCATAATACTCTTTTTTTGTAAATCCAATAAATCTTGTAAAGTTTCGACATTTTTTACTTATATAATAAATGTTATTTTGATTTTTTAATTTTAAGTTTGATCTCAAATTCATATTTAGCTACCCAAAAAACAATTTCAGTATAAATATATTTAATATTATAAGAGAAAAGTATCATTCGACAGGAATTCAATACCTTCGTCACTCATTTTCTATCCGCCATTTTGAATTTCAGCTTTTTTTTCATTAATGCCGCAGCACTACGTTGTAGAGCAATGTTTCATGAGTAATTAAAAAAAAAAAGTTTTGAAATCGGTTGAAAATTGCACAGTCGGTAGATTTTTGTCCAAAAAATGAGTCTTTTTGCCCACTGTGCGGCGTGCGGCGAAACATAAGTGCGGCAAGATAAAACACGAATAGCGGCGCGTTGTTCTTTCCCTCGCCGTGCACCGGCAATAGTTTCTGGATCGACTGGGCGCTGTCGCCTGAGCGGCTGCGACGCTCCTCTAATCATTTATGTCGACGCGCGCCCACTCCTCAGATTATTGTCATTAAGAACTCGATAATTATTACAAATCCCGCAAAATTGTACTTTACTATTCTTTTCAGTTTAATCCAATCTACCTTCATACTTCGGGTTGGCAGCTAATTACCGGACACCATGCAGAAATCTGACGAGTGAGTGCGTGCCAAGGTAATATTGAACGAACATTGCAAATGTTCGGACCCAGACAGCGCGGCCTAGTCGAACAAGCAACTATTGCCAGCGCACGGCGAAACTAGAGTCCCTATAAGGTAGTCTGGCCAATGAGTCTAGTTTTGTAAAAACATGGCGACAGTGGTATAAATATGTGCTGTTTATGTATCGTGCAGTACGTTGTTTGGCAGCAAATTGATACTAAAAGTAAGCAATAAAGTACAATTATTCAATAATTTAAAAATAAAGCAAAATAATAATAAAAAAGTATAACATTATATAAAATAAAGTGGTTAAAAAATGGTCATTGTAACCTAACATTTTAGCAGGACCTCTGAAAAAGAATCTTGTTAAATAATACTATAAAATATGAATTTGCAGATTTCAACATGCCATCCTGTTGCGTCCCAGAATGCAAAAATTATCAGAAAGGTTTTTCTATGTACTCCCTTCCCGCAGAACCTAGTAGAAGAGCAATATGGATTGCAAATATCGGCAAACAAGATTGGAATTGTGCGAAAAAATGGTTTATATGAGGTAAGTTATCTTATTTCTTATGAGAAAATACTATTTGTTATAAAATATTCCTATTAGAAACAAATAATTCTTGCTCCATTTATGTATAGGCACATTTTGCTGATGACATGTGGGAAAAACCTCGCATGGATGGAAGCGCAAACTGAAGTACAACGCGGTGCCAACAATTTTTAATAATATACCTGCGTGCAATGTAAGTATATTTTGTCTCGCCTATTATCTTAAAGTCAAATATTTACTTGTATAAATTACTAATGAAATTTCTACTTGCAGGTAGATACACATGTTGCAAATGCCAGGGCATCTTCGAAGATAGATAATGAATGTGACTATTTTAATAACATAGAGTTAAACGTATTGTATAATGTAGCTGGATATATAGTTCATAGTATTGCTAAAGGCAAAAGTGCAATATGCACAACTTGTTTAAATTCGGCAGGTTCAACTAAATATAACGCAAATGTTAAATACGCAAACTTTGTTCATCTCAAATGTTACCGGAATAACACATTATTTTTTGTAACCCAAGATGTTTTTGAATATTTTATGGACATGGAATTTATAATTAGACAATATCTTTCTCATGTAAGCAATTCTAAATGTAATTTAATTATCTTTTTATGGAAAAAATGAAACATATTTCTTGTGTAAGCCTGAAAAATTGTCATAAATTAAATGTGAAAATTATGAAACGCTTTATTGCATTTCGGATGAAAATTGCGTGTCTAAAAGGCCGACTGGTAAAACCAACATATAACAGTAAAACAATGGTTATGCATTCTGTTGTTACTTAATGATACAAACTGTTAATATGTTTATGTACAATGTATGTGTTTGTTTTGTTTTGTTGAATTTTATATTGTATGAAATCGAGAAATACATATTTGTCGCAAGTATCTTATTTCCTTCAGTTTCATACTTATCCTGCTTCCCGCAACACTTTCTATTGGTGCCTCTATGTTTTTACAAACTTTGCTTCGACCAATGAAAAGTAACACGTACTTGGCCAGACTCTACCTTATAGGGACTCTAGGCGAGACATAGGAGCAGCAAGATAAGACAAGAATAGTGGCACGTCCTTCCTCTTATCACACGTCGGTAACAATCGACTGGGTCGCGTTTAGAGAGACCAACCAGCTAAAATCCAATACCGTTTCGGCACGTGCTCATGCATCAGATTTCTACAGGGTTTGTTATAAAATAGATGCGGCATGTTATTGCTCCATGATAATGCTAGACCGCATATTGCAAAAAAAACTGTAAAAGCATTAACAGAATACAAATGCGAAGTTCTCCCTCATCCTCCTTATTCTCCTGACCTTCCTCCAACTGATTACTATTTGTTTAAGCATCTGGATAACTTTTTAAGTGAAAAGGTATTCCAAACAGAAAGCGACGTGAAAAATGCGTTCAACGAATTTCTTGTACCTCACTCTTCTAATTTCTACGTGAAAGGCATTGATGCGCTTGTATCACGTTGGGGGAAATGTATTGAGGTGGAGAGAGACTATTTCGATTAACGAGATGTATATAAAGTGTCGAATAAAGATTTAAATTAAGAATTAAAAAATGGCCATTTCATCTGCAACAACCTAATAAATACTGTGGGAGTGACGAACCATGGGGTCCTTATCTCTGCTGACACGCACACGCACACACGCACACGCACACACACACGCACGCTCGCACGCACGCACGCACGCACGCACGCACGCACGCACTCAATCACGCACGCACGCACGCACACACACACACACACACATACATACACACACACACACACAGGGGTGTAAAGTTCGACCATGCAACCTCCACGCGGTACATCCTGGATACTAATGTTGGCGGCATCGTAAATTCTAAAGCTCATAACAGACAATTCTCAACAGAAATAGATCATCAAGTAGTGTTTTGGAAACGTCTCGCTATCATCTTTAACACTGTGTGATAAAAAATGGAGTATTCCGTTTAAAAAAATTATGTTGACTTTGATCTCGCCTTGACCCTTCCATTCAAGGTCAAACGAATGTGATCATTCAATACAACTTTTAAAACCCTATAACTGTGGTTGAAAACATTTTTCTCAGAAACGTGTTGTTTTCGATATATTTGACCGTTTCCAGACTTTTCTAACACCCTGTATAATTTTTTTGTATTTGTTATTAAATAGAACTACACATGAATTTGTAGTTGTAATTAAATTCAATGTGTGTGATACATGTTTGTATTGTGTTGGCAAAGAAAATTCTTCTAAATCGTCGTCAATATTACTTAGAAGTACAAATACAGATATAACAATTTCGTCGTTTTGAAAATATTCTGGCTTTTCTTCAATTTCGTCGTTATCAAATGAAAATATACGAAATGCTTTTCCAAAATTTAAGACATCATCCGTGACTGTTCCTACAATTTCATGAACAGATAATTCAAATTGTTGATGAACATTATTTAGCATTTTTGCTATTTCAATGTGCGTGTGGGCAAATTTCATACGGCGACATGCCAGAACACACGAATTGTATCTTTTACTTGAGGATCTCTGCATAGGCAAATAAAAAAGAAACATATTTTTTTTCCATTATAGACAAAATATGTGAATACGTGAATACAAAAATACGTGAAAATGTATCTGAAAATATATCTGAAAAACCATTAAGATATTATGTTTTATATCTACGTAGGTACAGATATAGATAGTCCAATTCGAATGTATCTTACAAGGGGAGGACGTATCAACCGGGAAACGGTTTGGAACGAAACTTACGGAGCTAATAGTACTTGACTACTAATAACTTATGGTAATAGCATACGACGCAAGACTTCTTCGTTTTCGAGAAAAAACGGTCTAAAGAAAAGAGCCAACAGTGTACGAGTTAGTAAGAAAGGTATACAATGAAACGGCGTAGAGCAGCAGCGAAAATAACGGACTACCGAGCTGACGGCTGAGGTTCGATCCCTGCTATATGGTTCCTTTTTTATTCTATAAGCATAAAAATGAAACAGAAAACATTAATAAGTAATAAAACTGCGTTCCTTAAATATATTAGTGTTTGTTAAATATATTATTAATGATTTAAATTGCAAAAAGACAGTAAATCTTATTTATAAAATATATAGCGTATGAGAAAATTTTTATATAATAATTGCAATAGAAATAGGAGTAAAAATATATATTTTCGCTAGAGGATTTTTCGATAATAATTCATTATTCTCGTAAATAAAATTCGCACATACGAGAGCATTAGTGAATTTACCTTTAAAATCTTCATTTTCAAAAGATCTTTCTTCTAGCGATTCTACATCAACTATTTTGCTTGTTGAAGGATTCTCTGACATTGTTATGATATATGTAATTTAAATATGATCACCGAACTGGTCTGTATCACTAGTAAACGTACACTGCTGCTTGCTCTACTGACGACTGTTCCGATGCTCGAATTATTTCGTCATTCTTACCCATCGTTTAGAATGATACAAAGGAAGTTTTTGGAGGAGGATTGCCAGAAGAGATAAAGACACAACACAACTTCAACACAACACAACTTCAACACAACATAGAGAGTTGTAACAGAAACAAATATTTTATATATACGATATAAGATTACGAAAAATTATCTCATACTATTGTTTAACCCTTTGCGACCGGCTGATTTCAAAGAGATCGATAAACATGGATATCTATAAGTTGATCTAAACATTTTAATCTAGCATCGGGAGGATAGTTTTCTTTCATTATCGCTAACCTCGTTTGCCGTGCCGCACGTCAGGCGATCATGAATGCCAGCCTGGCGGTACCGACTTCTACGACGACTTACGAATGCCGCCACTGTGGCGGCATCGACCGCAAAGAGTTAATAGCATTTCTATATATTTAATAACAATATTTTTATTCCCATTTCCATTGCAATTATTATATAAAAATTTTCTCATACACTATATAATTTATACATAAGATTTACGGTTTTTTTGCAATTTAAATCATTAATAATATATTTAACAAACACTAATATATTTAAGAAACGCAGTTTTATTACTTATTAATGTTTTCTGTTTCATTTTTATGCTTACAGAATAAAAAAACCATACAGCAGGGATCGAACCTCAGCCGTCAGCTCGGTAGTCCGTCACAGAAGGTCGAAGCCACCAAGGCCGAAGCCCCCTCTGGGGAGACCGAGGCGGTCCAGCCGCCAGAGATCTCCCAAGAGGGGGTGAAGGTAGACAGCCCGGAGGAGGCGTATAAGGCCTAGCCTTCACGCCACTCCGGTTGCTACAGGCGAACCTCGGCCACGGCGCCCGGGCTCAGGACCTGTGGGTACACAGGATCCGGGAACTGGGCGCCGGGCTGGGGGTGGCCACCGAGCCGAATTGGGTGCCGATCAGCAGTGAATACTGGTTCGGCAGCCCGGACGGCTCGGTGGCCATAGTGGCTGACCCTGCAGCGGGGACCCCTCCCTGTGTTTTAAGGCAAAAGGGATCCTCGTACGTGGCGGTTGACTGGGGGCCTATAACTGTGGTGGGGGTATATCTCCCCCACCACAGAAACAAAGCTGGACTTGGCCCCGCCCGCATCAAAGGGATCCTAGACAGGATCGGGGATTTGGTACGCAAGTGCCATCCCCGACCTGTCGTGATTGCCGCGGATTTTAACGCTCACTCTGAGGAGTGGGGTTGCAGTCCCCGGCAGCGGGATCCCAGAGGCGAGGTGGTCATCGGCTGGGCGACGGGTCTTATGTTGTTAAACAGAAGGTCCACCGACACCTGCATAAGGCCGGGAGGGGGGTCATCGGTCATTGATTTGACTTGGGCCTTCCTCTCGGCCGTAAGGTTGATCTCCAAATGGAGGGTGGAGGCTCAGGGTGAAACGTTATCTGACCCTATGGTCAAATAACTGTTCTTGGGCGTCCCCGCAGATGGAGACGTTGAACCCCCAGGCCCTCGAGGGGCTCCTGGACGCCCTCTTTCCGAGGGCGGAAGGGGGTCCCCGTGATTCCTCCCCCAGAAATGGAGGAGGAGCGTCCACCTGCACGCTCCGACTACTAACACTAATTAATACGGGGGGGGCAAAGCGGCGCTCCCCCCCTCCATAATACTCGTGCGAGGTACTGTTCGCTTCCCCCCCCCGCCCCCTGCGTAAGGGCCGAAGGTTCGGCCTGGGACGGGCGCCTTTCCGGCTGCACGTCACAATATATATATATATATATATATATATATATATATATACATATACAGTGGCGTGCAAAACTTTTGAGCCACACAATTATTATTATATATTCATTTCATAATAAGCGCTAAAATCTTTATACATATATATAAACAAAATGTATTTATTTGCCCTACAATTATATAAACTTTACAAACTTTTAATAATTCTAAATACTTTATCTTTACACAATGATTTATTACAAACAGTGCAAAAGTATTGCGCCAAAAAATTTTCTTATTCATAAGAAAAATATATTATTGAAAAATAATAACAGAAAATGTTGTCAACGTTTTTTTAAACTTAATACTTTGTTGCCATGCTTTTAGAAACAATCACTGCAGCACAACAGCGAGGCATTGATGCTATTAAATTAGAAATGCGATCTTGAGGTAAATTTTGCCATTGAGTTTGCAGATCTTGCCACAATTCAGCTTTATTGGAGTGTTTCTTATTTCCTGTACATAGTTTCAGTTCTTGCCACAAATGCTCAATAGGAATTCAAGTCCGACGACCGCGAGGGCCAGTCAAGAACTCGCATTTTTTTCGCGATGAAGAATTCTTTTAT